GCAGCCCTATCCAGGTCCTGGGTGGTGTAGCTTCTGGCGTCTTGTTCTTCTCTCCGGACCTGGAGGGGCTAGGGCAGCTGTCAGCAAGGCTGCTTTTTGCTTCATTCATTTTTTTTTTCCTGTCACCTAATCTCTGTTGTTGAAGACTTTGAAAACAATGCCAAGTAATTGCCCTGCCCAAACCCCCCCCCGCCCCCGACAGCGCCCGCACCATAAACAGTACCCTGACAGGTGTGGGAGGGGCAGACCATACCTGAGGCAGGCGAACTCTCACTTTTGGCTCTCTCTCTCTCCACCAACCTCCTCTACCCGCTCCGTACTAGAATCAGGCTCCACCTCTTTCCATCCTGACCTGTCGACTGCAACCCCCCCTTCTTCGTACGGGGGAGGGGAGACCAAAGCAGGTGCCAGGACTAATCTTTTCGAGAGGGAGTCCTCTGTCGAGGACTCAGGGAGCACCTTTGTCTTCGGTTTTGCCTGAAAAAGAACTTGGTTAGAAGGGTTTAAGATCTGGTAGAGAGACATGAAACCTTGGACATAGGGGACCTCATCCCATTTCTTTTCTTTCTTGCAAAACAAATCGAGCTGCAGAATCGTATGGTAAGCCGTGGACCCATGTTGTAGCATCCTTCCTGGTCTCTTAATTGATATTGGGGCCACACATTATTGCATAAACATATCAATTTTTTTACTTTTGGATCATGATCTTGCCATAGAATCTTTTATCAAAAATGTTCAATGAATGGTAATTGGGCACCATTTGGTCTTTAGGATCCCAAGTACCATACAGCAAACTAAGAAATAAAACAGAAACACTAACAACAATATTAGGCCAATTGTCTGAAATAACCAATGAAACCATGACCCTAGGGTCTTTGAACCGGGGAAGCAATTCTCATGAGGTGTTCGTTTATGCATAAGCAGTATCAGTAACTGTCTTTCATGTGTCTCAACAGCAACTACGTTCTGCAAAAACTTCAGATTGAGTGTTAATATAAATACAGCAATGTTTATCTATTAAGGCACCAACTGTTTCTGGAGAGACTAACAGGAAGGCTAATACTATTCTATTTTGTAAAATCATAGCTCAAATTTTAGATACTTTTCTGGTTATGATATTTACAACTTTGCTAAGTGTACCAACAGGAACTTCTAATTCAAGAGTTATAATATTTAAACCCATTAGTTAGATAATTTAGGAGAAAGGAAAATGGTTTCTTACATCCAGAAAGTAGGACCTTAAAACATTTGCAGTATTCTCACATAAAACCTATAGTATCTTTTCATTTACTCAGTCTTATGTATTCAGTTTTTGTTCCACATGATTCTGGATCAGCAGCAGTCTGTAACCTCATCAGCTTCTGCATAAGAGTTCTGGAAATCTTGATTGAGTCTAGTCACAGCCTTTTCATAAGCCCAATATTGAACATTTTCAGGAAATTAGTAAAGTAAAAATTTATCTGTAAATGACAAAACTTAATATGGCCATGATTAATTTATAAAATAATACTCTTACAGCGAAAGACCTGATAGAAGTTAATTACAAGCACAACTTAAAGGCCAAATAAAATCAGTTAAAAAAAAAACAACTTTGGATTAAAAAAATATTTTTAAATATAACCATTAACTGTATTTTAAAGGAACTTCAGATATAACACATAATAATTTTGAGACATAATACCAGGATATACCAAGTCAGGATATACCAAGAATATACTAATTATCAAATCTTTAAATACCTGAATAGTAATAAAAGAAAACTTCGTAAGTAAGTGATGTGAATTCCCAATCAAACCATTGGCTCTGATCAGGTTGCGACCGAGTTAGCAATTAAGAAATAATAATACAAGTATGACATAATACTGTGCATTTGCTGTCTAATATTAGGCAAAAACGCAAGAGAAAATACTAACATATGAATCTTAACCGAAAGAGAATCAGGTGTTTTTCTTGATTTTTGACAACACCTTTGATGTAATTTATAAAATAAAATGTTTTAGCACTTTTCCTTTATAAATTTTTTCATGTGTGACTTTCCACCAAGTTTCAGAGTCGTCAGGAGTTTATAGGTCACCATGAAACAATACTTACTTATTTAGCCAAAGATCTTAAAGTAAAAATTTTGGCTTTTTTTTTTTTTTTTTGCCAAAAGCCATGTGGCTTGATTTTTGGCTCATAAATCTTATTCTAATGAGAGGCCAAATCTCTGCCTCCAAGGCAGATTACACAAAGAATAAACCCATCGACTCAGAAATCAAAGAAAATTTTGTTATTTTAACAGCAAGAAACCCAATTCTTTGTTTTATATTTTATTTAACATTGAAGTTCCTAAAAATCTCATAAATTAAACCATTAAACTTTAGTCAGACAGATGAAACTTTTGACCATATTAAATAAATTTCCTTTTTAATAAACCTCTTAAACATCTTTGTTGCATACCTCTTATAGTACATTCTTTTAAAATGGCAGAAATGAACACACTCGTTAGCAGACTGAAATATATATATATATTCTTCTTCTTGTGGCATAAAAAGCCAAAGTATATAAGCTTAAATTATGACAAGTATCTATTAATTTAATATCAATAAGTTACATAAAATATCTTGGGAATTATTTTAAGTCTGTATACAATAAAACATAACTGTTGTTGAAAGAATTCTGTTTAAATATTCTAAATTTCATTTAACTTTTACTATTTCTTGTATTTTTTTTTTAATCTAATTTTAGTGCTTAGAGAGTTTAGCAACTGGCTTTGGAAATCACAAAGTCTCTGTTCAGTTAACCAATTCATTGATATAGATATAACTTTAAGCCTCTGGCTACTGCAGGAAACATTTTTCCAGGCCATTTCAGGTGTGTCTCATTGTGATTTTTATTCCTTTTACTTCTTAGAGTTCCCCTATAATAGAGAGAACTTGTTTACAGTTCTATGAGTGGGATCCACCCAACTGTAACTGTAGCAAAGCAGCAATTTTTCTAATCTTTGTCTTAAAATGGTCTCTACCTAGTTGGAAAAGGTCTTTCAAAAGCTTCCCTGGAGCTACACAACCTTGGAGACTGGGGGCTGGGGCAGAGGAGGCCTGATCTTGCCCCACCCTCACTCTCTTGATTCATAGAAGACACTGACATATGTTTAAGTTGACCTAGGCATTTTGAAGGGCAAAAGGTAACTAATTTCTTTCTTTTTTGTTCCTTTGTTTGGTATTTTGTACACTCTCACTTTCAATGCCCCTTTTTTTACTATACCAGCTGCTCTGGTCTCTTTTCAAAGCGGTGTGGGGGCTTCTCTGCTCCTGCAGCTTTGGTCTCCCTCCTTTTCTTTGTGTTCTTGAGGGATGGCCTTCAGCCTGCAAGGTGGCGGCTAGGAGGGCTGCCTGGCACTTTTGGTCTGTAACTTTCTTTCTTTCTTGCCCCTTATCTCAGCCAGAGTAAATGTGGCAGGGCAGCTCTACTAGCCAAGGGATTTTTAACCCTGTACCTCCTTCTTTCTGAAGCTTTCTCAGTATTGGGGGCACTTTGTCCTGTAAAGATTACATTGACCATTCAGGCATTTTCAGGGCTCTCAGGATCCAGGTCAGTGAACTGGTGAACATGGTCTTAAGATACCATGGCTGTCTCAAGAATCAGTCTCACCTGGGGGATTTTCACTTTCCCTAACAGCCGAATCAGGGCGCCCCAGTAGATGGTATAATACTAGGTACACACAGACAATGGACAGGACAGACATAGAACCACAATAAACGAATAAATCCCGCTAACTGCCAGAGGTACTCTCGACCCCTTCAACCTCTCAGACGGCCCTGTCTGCCGACAGAGGTGCCCTTAGAGAATCTCAACCTCCCAGACACACTCACAAGCACTCACTCACCCCAGACCAAGACTCTGGAGTCACCGAGAGTCCTTTCTTTGCGACCCTACTCACGGGAATCGGTCATCTGAGGCGACTCCCGCCTCAGAAACCAAGGGCTCAGGTCCCATTCTGGAAACGTCGGGACTGCCCTGTCCACCCCGGCCCTGAGCACAACAGGGAGAGGAATTGCGGACTCACCTAAGGATCCTCTTATACCAGTCTTGCTTTTTTTTCCTTACTCACCTCCATCTGGCGCCGCTGGGGACTGGTGGTACAGCGGCAGGCCTCGGTGCTGTTGGCAGCTCCCTGGAGGCAAAGGGAGCCTCTCGTAGCCAGCCGGTCAGGGAGACAGCCAGACAATCCCGAGCCGGCCTCAGGGCCACCTTGTCTCAAGCGGCTGGAGAGCCCCATGCTGGGAGCCAAAATTTGTTACCGCAATGGCAGGTCTGAGCCACCTGCCACAGAAGCCAATACTGAGACAGGTGAGGTGAGCAGCAAGAGAGTGTTTTATTATATATCGATATCCAGGAGACAGAGGGGAATGAGCTCCTCCAAAAGACCTGTCTCCCCTTTGGAGACTCACTGAAAGTTTTTATACGGACAAATTATAGTTTTTTTTGTTTTTTTTTCCCGGTGGTTACATTCTGCGCCTGGCAATCCTTGAAGATCAACTTGCACCGTTATCATGTTGCAGAAGAGTTACTTTACCCTCCAAGGTGGTTCCACCTCTCAAAGAAAAACTTAAACTTAAGTCATGAGAAAGCAAGGAGGGGGGAATAGGATGAAAACAAATCAAAATCACAGGAGCATGCAAAAGTGAACCCTGCAGGCTAGGCATTAACAATACCATAGTACCCAGGAAGCCAGGCCTATACTGCTGGCAATAAACAGTAAATGTGAAATTTTCTCGCAGCCCCTATAGTATGGCAGCTTGGCCCCTATAGTATGGCAGTTGGCCCCTGAAGTATGGCAGCTGGCTCCTGAAGTATGGCAGTTTGGGGAGTCAACTCTGACTTCCTGCATGACCTTGGCCCCCTACCTCCCTCCTCCGGAGCCTCAGTTTCCCCACCTGTGAAATGGAAGGCCTGGACTCCTCGCCGTGCCCCTGGGCTCCCTGGAAAAGATGGTGAGTTGACTGTCCTCCCTCCAGAGGCTCCAAGAGGAGGAGCGCCAGCGCGACATGGACTGGGACCGGCAGCGCATCCAGAAGGCTCGGGCCATGTTGCTGTTTGAGCGGCGGCAGCAGCGGCAGCTTCACGAGCTTCGGAGGGCCCTGGACAGCAGCAACCACAGCCTAGCCCAGGAGCAGCATCTGCGGTAAAGCGGCCGGGCAGGGGTGGGGGCCAGGGGCGTGGACAGATGGGCCAGGGGAGTTGCTGCTGCAAACGTTGGGTGCACTGATGGGGCACATGGAGGCATCAGAGGCCCCAGGGGAGGGGCACTGAGTTGGTCTGGGGAAGCCTGGAGGGCTTCCTGGAAGACGCTGCATGTCTGAGACATGGAGGAGGAGGTGGTGCCAGCCCAAAGTCCAAGGGAAGGGGCTGCCAAGAACAAGCCTGGAGTTGCTTTTTTACTACAGACAGGATCCCAGTTCCAATGTCAAATACAGATAAAGGTGAACCTCTAATGAAAAAATACATTATCTTTTTACTTAGGATCTCTGAGTCGGAATTGACTTCATGGCAACGGGATTTATTTACCTATTTATTAAGCTCTTGGCTTGAACTGAAGGACCCCTGGTGGCGCAGTGGTTAAGCGCTTGGCTGCTAACCAAAAGGTTGGCAGTTTGAAACCACCAGAAGCTCCGTGGGAGAAAGATGTGGCAGTCTGCTTCTGTAAAGATTTACAGCCTTGGAAACCCTAAGGGGCAGTTCTACTCTGTCACATGAGGTCACTGTGAGTCAGAACCGACCCGACGGCACCTAACAATAACAGTTCTGGAGGCAACACACTAATAAAAATTTGTTGGCTTTATTTTGCTGAGAAAAAAAAAGTATTTGCGGAGTACACGCATTTGCTGATTTTTTTTTTCTTCTCATTTTGTTTTCCTATCAGGAAAAACTACAGGAAAGAAGTCTCTACAAATGATCCCACAGGAGATTATTTCTCACAATTTAATACCAGGAGTCGATAATGGAAAAGACACCCTCGTTCACCTCTGAATGGTTTATGTGTAAAATCGGGCAACCTTATAAAGAGTCATACTTATTTAAAAAAAAAAAAAAAAACAAGAAACCAAAAATAACAACTCCTTGGTTCAGAATTACTTGTCAACTTTGTTTTTCCACTTGGATGGGACATTCATTAAACCTCCCGGTTGTGTTTCTTTGAGAAGCGCTCGTTTCTGTTCAGTCTTGTTCGGTGAATGTCTGTGGTGCGTCTACGCTGCTCTGGGTGCTGCAGGCACGGCCCTCCTTGGGTGAGTTACGGAGAGACAGTGGCATTTAAGCTGCCCCTGTGTCTTACTGAGACTCCAGGTTCAACTGCTGAGCGCTAAGTACGTGCTTGGTAAAGCAGAGGGTCATCAGAAAAGAGGAAGACCCTCAACGAGATGGATTAAGACAGTGGCTGCAGCAGTACTCTCAAGCATGAGGACGATTGTGAGGATGGTGCAGGACCGGGCAGCGTTTTGTTCTGTTGTACACGGGGTCACTACTAGTCAGAACGGCCTCAAAGGTACCTAACAACAACAACAACACATATGTGCAGGAGCCCTGGTGGCACAGTGTTTAAGCGCTTGGCTGCTAACCAGAAGACCGGCAGTTAAAATCCACCAGCTGTTACTTGGAAACCCTATGGGGCAGTTCTGCTCCGTCCGGTAGGGTCGCTGTGAGTCGGAATCAGCTCGCCGGGGAACGGGTTTTTCGGTTTAAGTATGCGCAAGGCATCGTTCTCAGCTCTGGAGGTGGAATTAACTGATTTAATCCTCCCAACAGTGAGTGGGGGGTATTTTTGGACGTCGACCCTCACCAGATACATGATTCCTGACAGTTTTCTCCCAGTCTCTCCGTCGTTTCTTCACTTTGTTGATGGAAGTGCAGGTAAAGGTGAACCTTCCCCTGGGCCTGAATCCCTGACCTCTGCCAGCCCGCGCCTCTGTGTGTCCTGTGGTTCTGGGACCGGGGACCTGTTGGTGCCACCCTTGTGCGGTCCTCAGGGGAGCCCTGTGCCCTGTTTATCCCTCCAGCCCACAGTGGACTAAGACCCCGCCTGGGTTCTCGGAGCAGGGGGATCCCCTGTGACGTTGATCAAAACATTGCAAGGCTAAAGGAAACTAAGAGGAGACCCACGTCAGGGCAAGTGGGGCCCAGGCCCCTCCGCGGATCGCCCCGGCCCCTCCTGAGGGGGCTTTTCAGAGCGCTTCCTCTGTAGACCCCGCTCTGCCTCCCAGTGCCAAGGGAAGCCCTCCCCCCACCCCAGGCTGGAGCAAGCTCAAACAGGTCGCCCGGCAGGGTCCAGGGCCGCTAGAGCAAGGATGAGAAAGGAGCAGCCTCCCTCTCCTCCACTCTCAGCCGGCCTCATAACCCTCCTTTTTTGACCAAGAGCTGCCCGTTCTCAGAGTGATTGCCAATAACAAGTCCACTCCCTTTGGGGAAGGGGCTGGGGAGACATAGAGGGGCATCCAGACCCCTTGCCTCCCCGGATAATCCCACTGGGAGCGCTGGTCCCTTTCCAAAGCGACTGATGATGGATGATTGACAGCCCATGTTGCTGTTGTGTGCCACTGAGTCGCCTCCTACTCATTGCAACCCTATAGAACTGCCCCCATAGGGTTTCCTAGGCTGCAGGCTTTATGGGAGCAGATAGTCAGGTTTTTTCTCCCGCAGGGTGGCTGGCGGGTTCGAACCACTGACCTTTCAGTTAGCACCCGAGCGCTTAATCACTGTGCCACCAGGGCTCCCTTTGACAGCCCATAGGGATCGAATCAATAGCAATGGGTTTGGGTTCTTTGTTTTTTTAGGGGTTGTTAATCCTCTGCGCTTTGGGGAGGGGGTAATTAACAGTGAGAAACGGCGCTCTGGAAGCCTCGCAGTCCCTACGCCAGGCCCTCGCACGGTCCAGTGGGAGACATACAGAAATTGGTCCTTACAGAGGACAGCAGGTGGGGACAGGCAAGGCAGGAACAGAGTTGGGAGCCGCTGCAGCCATCAATCATATGTTTATATGCCTGGAATCATGGGCACAAGACAGAGAGGGACTTGTTTCAATTCTGAATTCTGCATCCGGATAAAAAGTACCCTGAAGGGAAGGCCCGGCTTGAAAACTTTGGACACGTGTATGTTTTAAGTGCGCCCTCTGCTGGTGACCAGCAGCACAACACATTCCCGGTGGCTCTTCAATGGCAGACAATTAACCGCATTACCAAACTGCCGGTTTGCTCTATGAGTTTGTGCTGTCTACTAACCTAAAGGTTGGCGGTTCCAACCCACCCAGCAGCGCCGCGGAAGAAAGGCTTGGCGATCCGCGTCTGTAAAGACAGTTGTCGTTAGCGGCCATTGTCGATCCTGACTCATGGCGATTCGTGTTTTACAGAGTAGAACTGCTCCATAGGCTGTAATCTTAATGGAAGCAGATCACCAGGCGTTTTCTTCCGAGGTGCCACTGGTGGGTTCAAACCGCCAACCTTTCAGCTAGTACTTGAGTGCTTAACCGTTTAAAATAAAATTAATAATAGAATACATGTTGTAAATCCTAACCGGTGTTCCTGTGGTTATAATCCCATTTGGGAATGGGTTCTCTTTGTTATGCTAATGAGACAGTTTCAGTGTAGGGAGTGCCTTAAATCAATCTCTTTTTGAGATATAAAAGCAGATTAAGCAAGCAAGCACAGCTCAGGGGAAGACAGATGCCGAGCCACATGAAGATCACCAAGGGGGCCAAGGACCAGAAGCTGAAAAGAGACGAGCACCTTCCCCAGAGCTGACAGAGAAAGCCTTCCCGGAGAGCCGGCACCCTGAATTTGGACTTGTAGCCTCCTAAACTGTGAGAAGATAAATTTCGGTTTATTTCAGCCACCCCCTTGTAGTATTGCTATTATAGCAGCACTAGATAACTCAGCTCAAAAGTTACCTTCTCAGTGAGGTCGTTTCCTGGCCCCTACTGGAAATGGGAACCTCTCTCCTTCTGCCGGATTAGTTACTTTTGTGTGTGGCCTTTCTAGCCATGGTCTTGCAATTCCCACTCAGGTGATTGTGTGACAGGGTAACTGTGGCCTACCAAGGGGGTTAGTCAGTTTTGCCTTAAAAGAGAGCCAATTCCAGAGCAGAGGGAAGGAGCCCACCACCACCAAGGAAGGAGAGACCTGCAGGAGATGGCACAGTGGGCTTCCTGGCCCACGGAGCAAGAAAGCTGAGTGCCTTTGGGCAGAGACTGAGGGCCAGGGAGAAGTCTATGCCTGACCCACAAATTTGGGACTTGCCAGTCTCCACAACTGCGTGAGCCATTTCCTTTACATGGTTCGTGAGTTCTGTGAGACGTTGCAGGGAATTAGGGAACCCAAAGACAGGAGGGAGAGTGCTGAGGGGAGAGGGAGTAGCTGATGTCAGAGATGACGGAGTGGGACAGCAGCTTGGAAAAGTTAGACATTTGGGACATCTTTAACCTCTGCCTCATAGGAACCAGCTTTGTGCTGATCGTTACAGAAGAAATTGTTCGTTTAGTCCCCCACACGCTCCCCGCCCCCGCTGTATTTTTCTCCATGGCCCTCATCGAGGGCCATAGTGTACATAAGCTTATTGTTCGTCTCCACTAGAACACACGCTCCATGAAAGGGCAGGGGCTTTGCTTTATTCACTACAGGGAGTTTGCCCTGTGGGCTGGCCTGGGGCCCCTGCACCCCGCTCTGCCCCGGAATGAGCCCTCAACTCCACCTGCAGGCTTGCATTCCTGGACCCCTCACCCACCATCTGGGGTCCAGATGAGAAAATGCAGGTCACATCTATAAAGCCAGGCTTCCTCTCCCCATCACCTCCCCCCAGCTTGGGTTTCCTGTGACATCTTGCACACACAGTGGAGTTAGGGGCCTAGAAGACCCTTCCAGCATTGTATACTCAGAAGCAGACAGACGCCGCCGTGAGTGACCAACTCCCCTATCCTCAACTCACTGAGATTCCCCGTCCTTAGTCCTTATCCCAGCAGGTGGTCAGAGAGCGCCCTGCCCACCACTTAGCCGCAATCTCCCAGACACGGGTGCTCAAGGGGGGACGTTCTGGGGGTTCTTGCTCTGAGAATGCCACAGGGGCTTGGTCCTGGAGGAGATGAGGGCAGGGAAGGTGGGAAGATTCCTGGCTGGTAGAACACCTGGGTCAAATAGTCTTACTTATGATTCCACTCTCTACAGTGAATGGTGAAGTCATGGTTATTTCGTTCATTTAGCAAACATTTCCTAGGCCCAATGATGAATGAGGTGTTAGGGATGAGCAAGGCCCTGTTTCCGACTGGGCCCCCTGTCGTGAATGCTACAATCAAGACGGGGAGTGCAGCAGATCGGGTGGCATGGTGGGGAAGGCACAGGATCTAGAGACAAGTAGATTTGGGTTTAAGTTCAGATTTCACCAGTTCCTTAATGAACCTGAGCCTCAGTCTCCTCATCTGTAAAATGGAGAGCAGTAGCTACCCTGCAGGAGTGTCAGGAAAGTGAAATGACGTATGTGTCCATGGATGGACAATGAACTCTGCTTGAATACAAATTATGCCCAGAAGCAGGTTAAAGACAGCGTCAAAGAAGAGGTGATATTTGACTTGGACCTTGAAGGATGACATAGAATGTTAAATACACATTGACTAGAAGGAATGGCAACCCTGCAAGAACACCGTGGTGTTGGCAAAGAATACTAAATATACCGTGGACTGCCAACAGAATGAACAGATCCATCTTTGAAGAAGTACAACCAGAACGCTCCTTAGAAGTGAGGATGGCAAGACTTTGGCTCGCTTACTTGGGATTTGTCATTAAGAAAGACTAGGCTCTAGAAAAGGACGTCATGGTTGGTAAAGTAGAGGATCAGCAAAAACGAGGAAAATCCTCCATGAGACAGATTGACACAATGGCCGCAACAATGAACTCAAACATGCCAACGATCATGAAAATGGCACAGAGATGGGCAATGCTGGTTCTGTTGCACATAAGGTCACCGTGAGTCGGAGCCAACTCTATGGCAACTCACCACAACAGCAAAAG